TCTATCGATGTCCTACATTATTTTAATAAGTTCTATCATCATCATCATCTATTAAAGACAATTCCTTGTTGTTGAATAAGTTCTATAGACATTATATTCCAAAATTAAAAAAAAAGTCTATTATAATCTATTTCTCTTTAAAACCAAATTGAATTTGTTTTGTATTAATGAATTTAATTAGTTATTACTCTAAGATAATGTTCAGTTAATTTGCTTTAATTTCTGTGGGTAGCAAAAAATCACATCTTAATATTTAGTGACTTCCTACCTATACATCAAAACCGTACACGTTAGTTATCAAGAGATACAAAGGACATTAGATTGTAAGAGACTATACCCAAAGACTAGTCTAAATAGTGTACAATTATGATTGAAATTCCTTTGAGATATAAATTATGAGTACTCGTCAATGTCATTTCTGTTCTAGTTAACCATGAGAACCGTTTTTCCGGTCTTATAATTCAATTTAAACGTAAAACGATAAACATTGAGGAAAATCTAAAAAGCTTTTAAGCCGTTAATGACGCATGAATATGTTGTTAAAGGATGACCGAGAGAGTTCTTAAAAGAAAGATATCTGAATCACCGAGCATTAACTTAAGAGAAATGTCAAAAATGTTTAAATTTGTTGAAAAATAACTATTCAAAAGTTAGTGTTAACACACCACACGGAAATTCTTCAAAGAGACTAAGTAACGAGTCTTCCGTGACTTGAGAGTAAACATCATTTCGTCCTTCAATATTCTAATATAAAGTACTTCAGTTTATGATTCAAATTTTGTTCATGCTGAAATATTTTGCTTATCAAAAAATTAGATGTATATGAAAATGAAAATAAAACTTTAATACTTTTTAATGGTTGTATAAATAATATTTTACAATCGAATAATAATAAAATATACTTAAATTTTAATATCTATCTGAAATTAGTTATTATTCTCTTAGTCAGTCTTTATATACTTATTATTATTATAGTTTTATTATTAACACATTTTGAATATAAAAGTACTGTATTAACCACCCTAAAAATTGAGTTTTCCATATGGAAAGTGAAGTTGAGTAAACGAGACCATGCTTTTAAACTTACTAGCTACAAGCTTATTTTGGTTATGTATAAAAACTAAAAAAAAACTTTTCCCTATAATGCGCAATGAAAAGATTTCAACGGCGATATTCTCTTCTTTAAAACTCGTGTTTTATAGTTTTTCGCGATAAATACACCAAGAAGATAGTTACATATACATGGAATTGGCTCAAAAGTTTTTTTTATTGCTAGCTACAGCTATTCTTATTATTATTATTATTATTATTGTTCAAACGCAGTAATTACAGTTCTTGCAGAATGTAAAAAAAAGTTTTTCTCTTAGATATGTTGGTTAAAATAATTTTCCTTCTAGTCGTTAAACGTCACTTGCAACTATCGCCTCGACTTTTTAATGAGTGCTATAATTATTTTATACTGTAACTGTCAGTATAAATAATATATACAAATGTAACTAATTGCAATTTTTTGTACAGAATTATAAAATACTTAATGTTTACGTCTGAATTAAAATTAAATTGCCCATCTATCATTGATTTTTAAAAAAATATACTATATAACAATATTTTTGAAGATCCCTTACAATTCTTCACTTAATTGATTTTTCAATTATTGACTATATATATATATATATATATATATGTTTATATTGCCTAATATACGTTAGTCATTCTCTGTATAAACAGTGTATTGTTTTGTTTTTATACTTGCTTGTTTTATTTTTATTCAAACTTGCAAAAACTTTTTTTTAATTTTTGTCATAAAAATAAGGCCGAAAGTGATAGAAAAATTTTATTTAGTTTATAGTTGTCGTAAAAACATTAATATAACGTAGCATAACATAAAATAAAAATGTACATTATATACATTTTAATATATTATAGTAAAAAAATTCATTACCATTAAAGTGTACGTAAAAACACACTTTAAAAAGTTTTCGACGATCCAACAGAACAAAATGTGTTAAGTTGGATATTTAATATGTTTTTACTTAAACTTAAATGTTGTGTGATTTTTAACAATATATATATATATACATGATGATCGATTAAGGATAAGGCATTGATTTTTTCATAAACAATATAATATTTTCGATTTAAGTAAGGAAAATATTGTTTGGTTTAAAAAAATTCAACAATATGTAATTAAATAACTTTTTTTCATCCATAAAAGATAGAAACCTAATCATTTATGGGAACATCCATTTTTAGTAACTAAATGATAGAAAAAAAAATTTCCAAACAGTTTTTTATTTTATATATTTAATACGATAATCTGTTTGAATTTTAAAATGATTTAAAGATTTGGATATAAAATAGAAATTCATCATTAATTTGGTTTATCTAATATCGAAGGCAATAATAATTTGTTTCAAAGGGTTATAAATGTTATTCATTATATCATAAATTATCAGTATTTATTCTTGCTACCATAAAGAATAATTATAATAACAAGAAATATCATTAACAATTTGTTTAGGTAAGATGACATCTACTGTATACTAAACAGAAAATTGTTCAAAAATCGCTAAACTTTAACGAGCAATAACAAAAGACCAAATCATCAAATAAAAAATTTATTTTCTGTCAGGATTAGAAAAACCCTGAATAGATTTTTTTTTTAAATCTAAAAGTAGTTATTTTGAAATTTTGAAAAAAATAAAATAGTTTTATTTTTATTTTTTTTGCTTATTAGTGATAAATAATAAAAAATATGCAATGAACGTAGTTTAAAGATTAAAGTTTTATTACTAGTTAAGTGTGAAATATCCTTTATATTTAAAATATTTTATTGAGGGATTGGGGGCATATCTTGAACATTTGTCTAGTGAAACTTCTTTATGAACAGGATACTTTTTTTTTTGTTTTCAATAGACTTTATTATTTATGATATCTCTGAGATAAATCATTGCGATTTGACTGCCACTTATACTTTAGCGTACATTATTACGGTTTACCTGTTGTAATATAGTACGTCTACGTTACACAGTTATGATATTAATATTCTATTATGTCATGGAACTGTCATGAACAAATCAATTACCATTGGAAAAATCTGATTACTATAATACTATGAACACTTCATATTGGTACATTGGAAAATCTATAATTAATAATATTCTATCTTTGATTTAATAACTACTAAGCTTAGACATTCCGATACATTATTCTATGGATGTTTTGTACTGAATGTAACATGTGTTTGGAATGTATAATTCAATGTACACCATCATATTTAATTAAATCTACTAGTATGCAAATTTTGTTCACTTACTAAACTGTCAATATTTTACCTCTGGTTCATAAATATCACATCGATAGAGTATTATTTAAATAGGTAATGTAGTATAACTATGCTTTTCCCAAATAAGATATATAAAAATACTATAGTATTGAATTTAACATTTTCTGTCATTTGATTCTAAGTAGAGATTTATAAAAACATTTCTTTAGAAAGTTACTTTTTTTTAATCATTAAAAAAGGTTTTTTCATAAAAATTTGTACAATAAAATTTAATTAATTTTTATTAACTATTGTAATTGCGAAGTATATTATAAGAAAAAATGATTTCTAAAGGTAACTTTGAAAAGTTAAATAGAAACCTATTATTATTTGTTTACTATTCAATTGAGACTGGTATGGATAAAATGTTGACATATCAATAATTAGTATTTTATTATTATTTTTTGAGTTGTTATAATCTTTAGTTGTGGAGTAACATGGCACGTGACGTAAAATTCTTCTTATCTGTGCTTTATGGTAAAAATAGAGCGTAACAAAACATTATCCCACTCCTTACTTCTTTTTAAATCTTCAAACGCTAATATGTAGTATGTTTAACAAATCATCCTGTATACATCAAAGGTGTAATTATGGTATGCATAAAAATAATTTCTATTAATACATAAAATGAAACTACATCACCTAAGAAAGTTCATATTATTTGAAATTAATTTTACTAAAATCAGTAGTAAACTCTATAATATGCGCATAAGTAAAATTTATGTCAAAGCTGTCTTGAACAGTAATGGTTATTCTAATTACTAATGCACACATATCAGGAGAAATGTTTTTCTGAGAAATAACCATTGACTTAAGATGAAAGTTTTCGAGAATTGACTCCTGATAAAATGTCCATTACGAATTTGAATAGGAATAATACTAATTACTAACGGAGGTAATGATGTATGGAAAATCAATAAGGCTTATTAATCGTCAACTAATTGTACAAAAAGGCAATTAAATTTAAAAATGCGTTTATTCCTTAAGAATCAACAATAATTAAATAAATGATTTAAAGATTTACGTTCTTGGCAACGTTTTATTACGGCGCACAGAAAAATTCTTAAAAGTCATAGTAAATATATGAAATCAAATTACATCTGCGAAAATTAAACGAATAAAATTTTGTGTTTAAACCATATAAAATAAGAGGGAAACCACTTAAGAACCTGTAAAACTAAGTCTCTGATTTATGAAAAAACATATTGTGTAATAAAAATGGTAGAAAAAACTACTCAAACTTTTAACATAAAAACCAACTGTGCTTTTGTGATAACTTTACAAGAAAAAAAAATTAAGCATTAATTTTAACTTCTTGATTAAGATTACAAGGTAAAACCCAAAACGTGAATATTATTGAAGATTACTAGCTCAGTTTAGTTTTTTTTTATTTTTCACTTAAATCAATGTATTTTATATCATACCATCTAATAGTAATTTAATTATAATATTATTGTACTTTGTCTTCTAAAATATCACCGTTCTTTTAAAGTTTTACACAAGTTACAACGACATTCAGTTTTCTTACCAAAGTTCTCGTTAAAAACTTTTAATGATAAAGTGCTTCTTGGAAGTCATTAAGCGCTCGACCTCAATTAAAGAAATATATGCATGATGCAACATCCAAAAGAAAAAACCTTCAGCTTGATGGTAATTTTATATTTTGTTATTTCAGATAAATTTAATCCGCAACAACAGAAAAAACAAGTGTCAGACTTCTTAGTTCGGCCGTTTTTTGACACGGCTGTACCGTCCAACATAACTACACAACTGGGTGGACATGCGTATATGCCGTGCAGGGTTAAACAACTTGGAAACAAGTCGGTGAGTTTATAAAATATAATTATTTGTTCAATAATAAAACAGTGTAGAAATTATTTATTAAAATACCTTTAGTATCCATTTTTACTGATTTTTTAATGGCATAGGTTTTCAAATATTGAACTATTATTATTTTTTTTTTAATATTAATTTATTACAAATAAATTAATCATTTTAATGGTATCTTAAGTATGTTAACATTTTTGAAGTGCCAACCTTCCTATAAAAATTTTATTATAATATTTTGACGTACTAAAGAAAACATCCTCATGTATACATATGATAAAAAATCTTATAAACTAATTCACATGACATATTAGCTTTTGAATACAAGCTATAGATTTGAAATTCAAAAAAAAGTCATAAATTTAGTAATGTATTTGGAATTTTCTTAGTGTTATTTTTTTATTAATATATTTTTGAAACACCCAGTAGTCAACAGTTCTATCAAAGTAGTACTATTGTTTTTGTATAGCTATAATTGTAAATACTATTCATATACAATATCCCAGTTATAATTTTGTACATGAGACTATGAAAGTTCAATGATGTGGGGTAAAGCTTTTTACACTGAAAACATCTTCTCTTAATACCTCATAACTAGATTTCAGCTTTACAATTCTAATTTAATTTTGTATTTAGTATTCAGAACATAATTTTTATAATTTGTTTTAAAGCCGATTAAAAATTACTTTTAAGTCTTACAAATATTTACATAAATATATTCGTGATACTTAAATAAATAAATTGCGTTCAAATAATAATTATTTTTGAAAGATCAATCTAGAAAAAGTTAAACGCGTTAGTTTAGTGAGTAGTTTAAATTAATGATCATTACATTGAGTAACGTAATACATATAGTTACTTTAAATATAAATATTGAATGTATTACGTATACATATCCTGTATAGAATAAAACATTTACTTACTCACTAGTGTGTAAGACAAAACCAAATAACCAATTTCGAACCTAAAATCTAAATGTTTAACACAATAAAAAAAATTTCTGTTAAATTTAATGAGCAACTTAAATAATCATAGAATATCTATTTGAAAAATTTTACTCAAGTGTTCAGTGTAAAACACTTGATAACAACATAATATATAAAATATTACTAAAAAGCGCAATGGTGGCATTTTTAATATCTACTTTTAAATCTGTGGCAAATGTTTGTAATAAAATTTAGATGTATATATATATGTTATTTAAAATACAATCTAAATTTATTCTATCAATACTTGCAATAATATAAAAAAATTTTTGTCCACATTAATATTTATATTATTAAATATTTACTTATATCCAAAATAATTTTTACAATTTTTATGTTTATTGTTAAAATCGTGTATGTTTTAAAACGTAAAAAATAACATAAATCATTTATATGTAAAATAATTTAAATAAAATTTCTATCAATGTTTAGAAATAATATTTTATAACATAAATATTCAATATACTGTCATGTATTTCAAGTAAAACGTGATTCATTCCAATCTATTTCTGAGAAGTTATTTTAAAATGCGTTTCAAGGAAATATTCAATAAAAGTTTACAGATTTTTTTATTTGAAATTAAACTTTTAATAAATTCAATACAGTTCTCATATTTGGACGTATAAATGATTACACAATACATGTAATACGATTTTACTGTTATCCGTCGACATTGAAAGTTCATGATAGGCAGAAATATTACTCAATTTATGGTCAAACATCCGCCATCCGAAGATCGTAAACACCGCCAGTTGCGTCGGTTCATAAATATAATAATACGCTATACGAGCTAAACAGTAAGAGAATGAGTTGCAAAGGAAAATAACTGCCCAACAAAAGCTAGTAAAAGTTTTTTGGTCGTCACATCATAAATAAACCATACGTGCGTTGATGCCCTACCAGTGTCGTAGAACTATTTTCAGACATAAGAGTAAGAGAAGAAAGCTCGGCGGTAAAAGAAAGTAGAAAATAGTTTTTACACGATAGTTATTTAATCAACGCTTCTACCGTTCTCAGTCCACGAGCTCTAAATAAAATTACAACGTCTTGTGCGCCTTCCAATTGATAGTTCCTAACGACTGTGTCTGCCTTTTCTAGTCCTGTACAGTCAGTTGGAGGACGAAACAGATAAATTGAAGAGAAGGCGCCATAAAAATGAATCCAGGGGGACCGTTAAGTTTTCGAAACAGTAACGCGCCATTTAAACTTGTGTTATTGTCGCAAAAAGTACCTGGCTAAAAAATGACCCACCTTTTTTTTCGTTCGTGTTTTGTGCGTTGGAAACCCATTAACTTATAGTTATATTCACAGCACTATACAGTTTACGTCCAAAAATACATAAATACTTTCATACGTATAAGAGGACAAAATTGTTCTAATAAAAAAAAATGTCTACAATGGATACCACTTATTTTTTATCATAACATATTATACCATAAAGTATTCCAAAGTTCATAGCTTAACTAACTAAATGTTTTAATACAATTTAATAATTATGCACAATGATACAATTATGTATATTAAATTTTTATTTCAATAATGTACTAAGCAATGTAATTATTCAAGTAAAATTGCTATTTGATGATTCAAAAATTAAAACTTTTGATAACATTTTTTTTTTCAATGTATACAAAAAAATCGTTTTTCATTTTAAACATTCCAATACATTTATCACTAGTGTTATAAAAATTGCGTAGAAAAATTAAGTATAAAATTAAAATTTTTTAATACACAAATCGCAAACACACAAGAATTTTTTACTCGTTACAAATAACATACCTAAAATATAATTTCTAAAATTGCATAATTCAAAATATGTGGATCTGTATTACATTGGTATATTGAATCCTATGACTCTCGTGAGTGGTATTGTACAGTGAAAATTGCATTAAGCATAATCCAAAATTTGAAAATGTTTGTGAAATTTATTACTTTGGAACCAATTGTTCACTATAATCTCATTTATGCATAGTATAATAGTATACAAGTTTACTAAAACTGATTTAAATAAGCCCTATGCAGTAAACAACAGTCAATTGCTATGGAAAATATGAAAGCCTTAAGCTGTATAAACAAAGTTATCATACGTTTTGAATAGATGGCGTGCATTTTAAAAATAACCAGTCAAATTAATCAAACATGATTCATAGATAAGTCACGAGATAATAGTTATTTTATTAAGCATATAGTAACACATAATGTGTTATACATTAATTGTTGATATTCAGTTCATTTTTTGTATAATTAATAATAATTGTATAATATGAAAGGGAGTAAATTATAATTGTTCCACTTTTAATAATGCAGTGTATATAATTAATATACACTAAATCATAAAATTCCTATATTAATAAATACAAACTTTACATTAATATTCATTTTGTATGAAAGTTTATTTCATTAGTTTATGAGATATAAAAAAGTAATACGTTATTTTCATTTTGATAGAACTGTCAATAATATGAACTAATTTATACAAAGAAAATTTAAAAATATATAATTAACACTAGATGTAATATTAATTTTATTAATAGCTACCTAAATTTTAAAAAGAATTTATTTATTATATTATGATTGCCAAACAAATTGCTAATATAATCAATAGAATGGTTTATAACAATACACATTATTCAATACTCAAAGTACACAAAACATAGAAAAAAAGTAATAACTATTGTTTAGTTTAGTCGTAAAAATAATTCCATTATATATATATTTGAATTATTGTTATTATTTAAAATACAACAAAGATGTTAAAAAAACATATCTAAAATGTCTTAGAAACAAAATGTTATCTTGATAACATTATTTTTCTTCTTATCGTGATATTACACTGTGTTCATATTTTTATTGAAATATTACTAGTTGATGTTAATAATTAATAATGCTTAATTTCAAACTATCTCTCTATGATTATCGGCTATTAAGAATATCATTATTTTTCTCATAGTATACAACAATCCAGTTTACAAATAGTATAGTATTTATAGAAATTCCCCAAAGGAAAATCATGTTATAACTTCATTCATTAAATTGCTCCTTGATAGCCATTATGAGCCTGGATAATAACCAGGCAATCATATTAATATTCAAACTAATGTTTTTCGCCAACGTTATACAACATTCATATAAACAAGTGGAATTGTGTAATGTAAAACATATTATCTTCTGCTTTAAAAACAAATAATTGCAGCATTATTTTACAATTAAAAGCCACGCAATTGAAAAAAAATACATTCGTGATTTTTATTTACTAATATGACATTATTGAAAAAAATTCTTTTTTTTTTAAGTTTTTGTCAAAATTTGATAATGAATAAGGGGGATCAATATCATTGTGTTCTAAATATTTGTTCAACACACTTAACTCAAAGTAAAATATTTAATTGCTTTATCGCCTTAAAATTAATTTTTATTTTAACTTATTAGCATAGCCATAATAATTAAATTAATCATGTGAACTTTAACTTATTTTTACTTAAAAATATTAAGCGATAGTTTATTTATTATGACGGTAAAATGTTTATATGCGTACTTATTATTAGCTCAGGTAAACTACTATTCATGCCATAATAAAGTCAATGCTAAAAATTATTTTTGTAAAAATATAAATTAATTGTTACTCAAAATAAAACCGAAATTGTTTACTTCCTTCGAAATGATATCATGAAAAATATTTTTGCATGCCAAATCGAATTTCGTAAATATTTTTTTTACAAATAAACAGAGTAATTTTAACAACTTTTTTAAACACGCTGAATTTCAATAAAACTTAAATCAATGTAGAAAATATTTGTTATTTTAACAAAAATATATAAATAAATAGCATAAAACTTTTTAATCTAATGTTATTACAAAATGGAAGTTTCTTATTAAAAACAAGACTTAAATATACCGTCAATATGTTTTAATACTCTTTTCAATTATAAATCAAAGTTAAAATTGCCTATTTCATGTAAAGTTGAGAAAGTTTTTATAGTCTACGTTTAAGGATAAAATTAAAAACTAAAATGTAAAATTACCCTTCACAATTTAATATGTTATCATCGATAGGTTCGTTTCAACAGAGTAAAGCATACCTATATTTATTGCAATGGCTACGGTAAACTCGTCTCTCGTCTGCACTGAAACTTTTAATTAAACGTTTTCATCTTTTTCAGTATTAATTAAAATGAAAAAAGTAATAAATTGTGGTAAGAAAAAAAAATATAAGAAACTTGTTGGAAATGTTTAATCAAAAGTTCACAGTTTGTGAGTATTACAAAAAAGGTTTCTGTTGTATTTTTTAGGTGTCATGGATACGAAGGCGAGATTCGCACATACTCACCATCGATTGGCTGTTATTTATCGCTGACGATAGGTTCAGAATATTTTTAGTAGAGCCTACCTGTACGTGGACGATACAAATCAAGTACGTTCAGCCCAGGGATGCTGGTGTTTACGAATGTCAAATAAACACATCACCAAAAATGAGCCATCTGGTTCAGCTCAATGTAGTAGGTCAGTCCTGTCGTATTTTGTTTTCAGTTGACAGTTTTATCTTTACCGGTTAACACCTCCGTTCGGTTGTTTTTATTCGGTTTTTTTTTTTGTTAAACAGTGCCAAAAATCGAAATCCTCGGTGATTCGGACATCCACGTGATGGAGGGTAGTTCGGTCAGCCTAAAATGTGTGATCCGGCAAAGTGTTCGAGATCCAGACTACATATTCTGGTATCAGAACGGCAAACGAGTGTTGGATTACGGAGGTAAAGGCGCCAAAGTTATTACCAGCGAACGACGAGATGTAAACACGATGGTAGCAACACTCACGATTAATAAAGCTGTGTTATTGGACTCGGGGAATTATACGTGTCAGCCGTCCAACTTAGACTCAGCAAGTGCTTTCTTACATGTCTTGAATGGTAAGTAGATTAAGATCGTAAATCGCTATTTTTGTACATCATACCAATAATGCAAGTACTTTAAGTTAAAAAATAAGTAATTTAGTCAATCTGTATATGCTTGCATTAACCACTAATGAAAAGCTTGGTACTACATTAATTCTAAAATATGGTCAAATCTCATTCCATAATTGCTTTTCTAATCTGTTGCGTTACCAAAGAAAAACATATTTATCGTTATTAGGTTTATTATGATAACAATTATTATGATGAAATTATTTTAATCGCATAAATATATGCACTATTGAAAACGGGGGTATTTTTTAATAAAATTAACCGGCTAGACGGCCAATCTAGTTCAGTCAGTAACGCGTCAAGATGTTTTTGTGCGCAGGTACCGAAATTCGATTCTACGGGCTGGGCGCGAAGGTTTTCCAGTCCTCTCTGGAACAACCTTCTAGAGAGGGTGTTAAATATAGTTATATAATAAATACATAATTAATAGAAAATGAATTAAACCGTTGTATTTATACGTTTTTTTATTTGTGTATTCAATAAAAGATTTTAAATTTTTGTAACAAACATTAAAATGTTTCAATTCAGAAAACAGTTGAGCTTCGTGGTTTTCGATAAAATAGAAATGTATTTTTCTATTATGTAATTTATATAGAAGATAGTAAAATAAATTGTAGTTTCAAATGCTTTTAAAATAATTCTTAGTTGTTAATACCTTCAATAAATCCTTGTAAAATATATTCTAAGCGCACTATTAATTTCTTTTTAAAAGCTTAGTTGTTTTATCTATGTCCCTTATTGTTGATTACCAACGTAAATCTTATTGCATTAAGATATAATACTGTTTTCTAAGCCGTAAAAATAACAACGGATACATTATTACACAAAAAAAAAGATTTTTAAGCAGATAATGTTCTTACGCAATAAGTTAAACAGAAACGATGTCACACACATACGTTTCATATAGAACTGTATCATTAAAAATTTATAATATTTTAATTCAACAGTGATAAGTCATAAAATATCGGTATTTCTTGCATTACGAATAGCTTTTAAAGTTCTCAAAAGAAAAACCGGAATGTTAGCCCATTATAATTTACGAGCAAAAAACTTTTTACCGTGCCGTTTCCTTTATTTATTGCTTTTATAACTTTTGAAGTAATATTTTTTATTCTAGAAGACTTTTGAAAAATTTGGATCAATAATGTTATTAAATTACTTAAATCTTAGACATTTTCTAAATGCATTACACGCTGTTGTATTAGTCATAGTAATGCTATAATTTATAACGCCATTCTGACTGGTCAAAAATAATAAAATATACACAATATGCAAAGTTAACCACTAGAATAACAGTAATATAATGTTTATAATAACTTGGAAATCATAAAATAAATTTGAAATATTTTCGAAGTAATAAATTATTTCATTTAAACTTGTGTTGACGGTACTTTTTATTTAAAATAATATTAGTTGAACATCGATTGTGACACGTGTACCCTACTTAAAGAAGTTAAATTGTAATTTACTCACATAGAAATAACATTTCTATTAAAATAAATTTCACGTTTTAATCATACGTTAATATGTATTCGCGTATTTAATATGAATGTTTTTCTTTTACTCATTCATAATAACTTTATATAATTAAATAAATTTCTGTTTTAATGGCGCTCGAATAATATCTTTATGCCTTTCAAGTTGAAATCATCGTGTTTTTATTATACTAAAACTTAAGTCCGTCGAAACAATGTTAATGAACTATAGTATATTTATGTATAATTCAAAATAGAACAATTAAATGCCATAAAATGAATTTTACTTAAAGTTGAAATCGAATAAATCCAATCCCATTTATCAAACAAAAGTTGAAAATTTACTTTAAATTCAAATTTTATTATGATATACGTGTACGTGTATCAACAACGTGTTATCATCTCAAATAAAGAAACACCCAACTCGTCCATAACAAAAATGATCAATTACGCACACGTCAATAAGTTGTTATAAACATTATACTCTTTCTCTGAAGTATGAAATAAATTACCAACACTCGGTGCACAATCTGAAAGCTTAGGTCATTAACAACATTGTAGCTTAGTTTCTTTTAGTAACTTTTGGCATCGAAATCACCCCTAAAGTTATTGATGAGGTATTTTTACCTATTTTGCAAAATCCCTGAAGAAATTGTAACACTCAAAATCAAAAGACTGGTAGTATGACAAGCTAGTAAATATACACAAAGTTGGCGTATGGTTTCATTCGAGTTTACATTTCAGTTGTATTTGTTTTGTTCGTCGTTTATCTTGAAAGTCAATTAATAGTAATGACATGATTAGAACAACACTCGATGCTTGTGATACGAGTATCAAGTTAGTCGACCGATTGCACAGTTGTGGGTAAATATTTCGAAATAAATTTATATTAAGCCGTAAACGATTAAATTTTCATTAACTTAAAGTTGTCGCGTTGAAATAACTCTAGCGGAACGAAATCGAGACCACTCTAGTTAAATGTTTACACGTTTTGTGTTCAGATAACAGGAAATGGTTGCGGTAGTTCATTGTATTATTTTTACAGTCCTCGCAGACGGCGTTGTTGATAGGCAATTTCGGTACACCCGCGAATAGGTGCACGTCAACCGTATTTCTTGTGTTATGATTCACAATGTGCGCGCACCGTTGTAGCAATAACAACAACAATAATGCGTAATAATCACTGTAATGATTATGGCGGCTATAATAACAATAGAGATTACGGTAACAATAATAATTGTGTAACAATGGTGACAAACTCGAGTGTACAACACTTTTTATAGGCCACCGGAACGAGACCATACACCGATGACGACGGTGGATATTATTGAGAATGTCACCCTCTTCGATTGCACTTGCTTCTCTATTCAAATACGTTTCTCATTTGAAATTCCGGACCCACTTTAATTTACTCTCGTGCCAGCGTTTTCAGTCATGAGACGTCATCAAGGTTGTTCGCATAGCATTAAACCGCACAACTTTGATGCGTCAACGACACGACACTAGAAAATGAGATACAGGCGTTTACATAAAACTCTCCGTTTGATCTTCGATTCTCTTGTGATCGTATTATCAGCCACTTGATAACACAATGCTGTGAAATATGTTTTACTCTTACTTGGTGTGAAAATAAATTATAATCATAAGTCGGAAAACCCATATTGAATATATTGAAGTAAATGATAGTACCTTTAGTTTGTTATATTTTATCTCTTTTCTATTACTCGACTGTTTTATTTGTATTAAAAACACATATTTTTCCTAAGAAACATATTGAGTACTATTTATTCACTTCACTTATTTATTAAATTTACTTTTTTTAAATTTTCAATAGACATCAATTCTAAATTATTTTTATACTAAAATATTAATTACTGGTAGTACCTCATAATATTCCATATTACTTTTTTCAACGTTCATATTTATCAACGAGCCAAGCTTTACTTTGGTCATTAATTGTTTCTTCGTACAAATAATATTTAATATCTATAAGTAGAAAATTGGGTGTGAAAATATTTTATAAGGACATAAATGAGTAAAATGAAATATTTCACTTTGCGTATTGATAAAATAATTAATACCCAAAGGGTATTTATTACATAATACATTTATTATCGATTACTTACCAATCAATTACTTACCATGAAAAATCGTTATTAAAACATACATTTGTAACTTCTATTTAATTTTTTAATTAATTTTTTGTTTATTTATTGATATTAGCCTTAAGTTATCTCCGTATTTATTTATACTATATCATTTGATTTAGAGATTAACTCATTTCGTTTTCAAAAAAGGACATTTTTTGATAGTTTCATGCCTTAGAACAAGGGATTCGAATGTTTTAAGTTTATTATTAAACATGATCATAAAAAATTATATCAATGTTATTCCAATATTACATATATTACAATATATTACATTGAGTTTATATAAAAATGATAATCTAACAAGGAATAGCCATAAATAATATTTATTTTTCAATACATTTAAGTATATATATATATATATTGATTTTTAAAACATGAACTCATTGTTTTTTACGAAATAAAAATAACTAAAGTAATTGTTTTTTGTGAAACAGGAGAACACCCAGCAGCTATTCAACGAGGTCACAGTTCTGGAAAACAAATTCCAATTCGACTGTTAGCTCCTTTGTCAGCGGTACTGGGTTTGAGCTCAAGTCATTCAGCTAGAGCTGCTCTACTAACGACTGCTTTTGCAATTGACACGGTCTTCCGTTTTTTATATTCGTTTGTTGTTTGAACTCAAATGTCTCATAAGCAAGCTAATTGTTAGCACATCCCGTTTCCAGACGAAATCTAAAAAATAAATGTTTCTTCTTTCTCATAAAATGGCCAACCACATTTTGTTACCATTAGTTTATTGTTGGATTGTATTTTTATCATTATAATTAAACAATTATTTATGTACAAAAAATAAAATAAATGTACATAATTTACACAATTATAAATTTTGAACATTTCAATGAAATAAATGGCATAAATTAATGTGTAAATATAAAAATGACTAAGAGAAATAATATTTTAATTAACATTCGGTAATTATACAACCGGTTTTTTTTTTCATTGTACAGTTTTTATATTTCATTATTTATTAAATATATTCTTTCTTTAAATAAAATACATGCTTAATCAGCATATCAGTATATTATAATACCATAATCAGCTTTACCAGTTCCATAAATCAAATATTCAAAATGGAAAATATTTAATCGTTATGATTAATTGTTGTATCTATATTTATATTTTTTTTATGAAAAAGTGTGAATATTACTTTTCTTTTGGGAAAATAAAGTGATCAATCTTTTAATGTCAAACTGTAATTAATTATTACAAATAAAAAAATCATAAACTATTTTGAAACTCTTAATTTTATTTTTACTTTTGTTTCTTTTACTGTAAAAAAATAATTTAATAAATAATGTTATTAATATTATAATTATATTACATTGAAATGTATAGCACGTGTAAATTGATTTTTAGTGCTACTTTAACTCTAGTTCAAATAAATATAAATGTAATTTTATTATAATTATTCTAATGGTGCGCTAATTCCATAATTTTACTCAATGCTATGAAATGAAAATTGTTCAATATAAGTTAACATTTGTGTTTGATACGGTAAAAAATATTTATTCTCAATATAAAAAAAAATACATCATTAAAAAGTTATTTTTGTTGATACGTGATATTTCAAATTATGATTTTGTTATAGCGAATATTAATTATTTAAAATAAATCACTAACATTTTAGCTGTTAATTACGTTAAAATATGTCATATTTCTACTCTGCATGTACTCTATATGTCTTCAAAGACTTTAATTTTATGGTCCAATCATTCAAACGAACAATTTTTATCAATTTCAATCTATTTTATAAATAAATTTAAAATTTGTTTAATAGATAATTTAAAGAAAACAATAGTAAAGTGTTTTTAATTTTATTTGTTATGTTTTCAAATAATATAAATTCCTATAGATATTAAAATTTTAAATAAATATATATAATATAAATATTTCAAATATTAACATTGTTGACATTTATGTCATCAATGAATTGACATATTAAACTAATTTCATTAAAATTTATCTATTTGTAGTGAAAATTATTTTAATAAAGTGAATGGACTGTAAAATTTGAAAACCATGTACATATTTTATTTATGGTTTTGTTATTAACAATTGATTATTACTAATTTATTAAATTTATTAAATTTTTTAACCATTTTTCTTTTTCATTTTTGATTTCTATAATTATTTATTAATATAAGAGTTGTATATCATGTAACACTAAAGTAATTATAAAAGTTTGTTGAATAATATTATGTACCGTCATCGTTAAAATAACTATTAATTTATTTAAATAAATGTTATACAAATGTCAAAAAAATTAAATAATTTTTTTATTATATTAATAAGGGGCTACTCTAGGTAACAAATTTTTTGATAAAATAATAGGTAATTGTTCTTATTAGTTCACCTGGGATAGCAACTTTTATGTTGCCCTTGATCGACATTATAACAAGAACAATGATTTCCTTTGACAATTTTCATTTTTTTTTTTTTTGCATCTTTTTTAATCGAGAAAAAATATTATTGCATAAAATACCTACACCTTATTATTCTATTTAATATCTCGAAATACAAAATTATCTACAGAATTGTGACTTAATAAATCTTAAAAATTTGGTAAAGCAATTGTGCCTTTTTGTAATAATGAGAATTTACAGATGTATCCATCAATGTAAATTTAATACTGATGTTTTGGACCCGTTGGATCTTTATAGAGATAATCAAATATCTAAGTTTGTAACTATACTATCGGCCTGGCTTGATTCTACCATAGACTATATGAAAATATAGTTTTGACGTATCTATATATTTTTTTACAGCAATTTGTCAAAACATCGTGGGACATCCTAGACAGAGTGTTCAGTAAGTAAGGAAATTGTTATAAAAAATGAAAACAATAGAAAATAAATAATAAACCAAGTATATAAAAAAATAACTGTTTTCAGATATTTGGGGATTTTTTTTTACTTTTAAATTAATGATAAACTGATAAAATTATCATCGGTATTGTCATTACCGAGAGGGTCAGTGTGGGTAGAATATGAATGCAGCAGAGCCTGTTTGGGTTTCGAGACTCGGCCACAGGCGGCTTTGTTTGCTAAGCTCGAGATCAGTTCTGCAATTAGAGTCGTCATTGCTCACTTCGGTGATGGATTAACTACCAGTCCCAGAGCATCCATGGTTAGGAAACCTTCTCTTCGTGGTATCTGAAATGGGCCACAAAACAAAATTTCATTGTTGATTAATTGTCGTTATTGATAACACATATATTTATTTTTATACTGTTTTTGTTATTGCTTTTGTTATAAATATTCTTTATATTTTTTCTTTCTTACATGCACCACGCACAGAGTTTGAGGAGCTAAGCCCCTGCAACATTTTATTGAAGTATCGCCTTCATTGATAATTTTCAATTATACTCTCTCTATTGTTATTGATACGTACAATAAACGTAATTAATTTATAAGATTTTGACGAAATTCAATTTTTTCATTCTTCTTTAATAATTAGTTAACACATTGTAATAACGTAATTTTTATTATCATATTAATATTACTCAATTATTTCAACAACAGGTTATTTTAGGAGCATAACATTTTTATTGAACTGAGAAATAAAATAAATAATGCTTGGACGTTTTTAAATAGTTTTAATGATACATTAAAAAAGAGTCAATACATAAAGAAATGGTGTGAACACTTTCAACTCAATATTTATTAGATGCTATTATATAAATACTTATCAATCATCAACAGTTGTTTAGCTTCTATCCCAACCTTTTGGTCCATTGTGCGCACCTCATACCGAATTGTTTTAATTTGGTTTACCCACCTAAGTGTTATTACATTATACCTATCATTGTACAAGGGTGGATCATCAAGTCACCCTCTTGGATGACCAAAGAGTCCTGGCTTTCCGGCGAAATTAAGTATCTCACTGGGTCTTAGTTTTTTAGTACCTTCTTTTTCAGGAAAAGGTTTATTCAAGTAGTTTGATCTTAGTGTGGACAAGGATTCACATTACCACATAATGTGAAATGAGTCTTCCTCTTCTACTCCACACTTCCTGTACAATGGTAATTCCGATACCCCAATTACGTTAAGATATTTAAGCAGGAAACCATACCAGTCAAAGTGCTTATTTGATGTCTAGTCATGCTATTAAGATCACCCAGCAGTAGACCGGGGATCTTGATAAACATTTTAGATTGTCTAGGTACTACCAAGTACTTCCAGACTTTCCTGTGTTTTTCCTAATGCTGCTGCATGTCCGAATATGTCATAATTTGTAGTGTAACCAATGTATTCAAGAGAAATGGTACTAAGTTATCTTAATTACATGGATGCTATTAAAATTTAAGAAAAAAATGTATATTTATAAAATTTTCACTAAGTAAAATAATTTCATTTCTTACTTTTATAAAAAGTAAAACATTAAAGTAATAAATAAAAAATACATTTACAATATGCAATTTTAGTTCTACTTTTGTATGTTTATTTTTTAAATTAGTGCTTTGATTTTATATATATTTTGATTTATTATTAAAAATTTAATTGAATTTAAATAGCATAAATGATGTATGTTAAAAAATAGTAATATTTCTTAACTTTAGGAAGCCATAAAGTCTTCATAATGGTACGTAATTATAGCACCTTTACTTTTCTATTATACATAATATCTAAATGTGGTTTAGCAATAGTCCAATAAAACTATAAATAAGTCAGATTTGTTTATATAACATGAATTTTTATTTTCTAAAAACTTGTAACCTTTGTGATTTTTTCGCGCTTTTATTTTTACATAAACAATAATTAGTTGTTTGAAAAATTAAATTTTTTCTGCTACAAAATCTCAATTTTTTACAATCTTATATTATATCATTTTATCATGTAGAATTTGAAGAATTTAAAAATATATCTTATGAAGTTTTATTCTGAATTAATTTAATGAAGTATTTCCAAGAAGTAATTAAATACAACAACAAAAAGCGTTTCAATAATTTGGCACTTTTTCAGCAAAAAGCCGTAGAGTAACAATTTAATTTTATTGCTATTGAAAAATAAGTACCTTGTCATTGTAACTTATAAGTTACATTCATTGCATACCCGTTTCGTTTGTCATTATTTATTACAAAAGTTTTCAATAAAATTCTTCAAAAATAATCCAACGCGACAGTAGTTTTGAATAGAATCTCAATGGCGAAAAGAGTGCCCAAACATATATTTAATACATAGCACTTTTTTTGATTCTAGGAGGAGCAACATTACATCGTTTGATGTAATACTAGTTATATAGCCAGTGATAAATATAATATTGCAATAAAGAATGACTTATAAAGTTTTCTGTTACGATTTGATTGTAATTTTTTATTTACTTCTACATTACTTTTTATGTGAATTTTATTGTATGGTTGAACAACTGTCTTCAATTGCTTATTATCAAATAAAATATAAAATTACATCAATGTTTGGGTCACAAAGATCAAATTCAAATTGAAACCTTTTTTTTTTAAATTTAAGTAAAACGTATATAAATTTAATAAAACATCAACTTATTCTATCAAACTAAATGAGTAATTAAACAAATAATGTTTAATCGAAATTTCAAAATGCTGTTTTGTCACTAAAACGTCTGCTTGTAAATAATTAAAAAATTTTATAGAGAATAACATAAAATTCGGTCTAGCAGAATGCGGTTAGGTTGGGTGAGTTGAAAAGGCCAATTTGATAGATCGGTTGATATTTTAAATACATTTTTTTCTGTCAAATTGAATTTATGAAATATTTGTATTGAATTACTTAAGCTTATGAAATCTCGTGACTAAAAACTTAATCAAAATAAAATGTTGACTAAATTATAAACAATATCTTATTATGCAAAAGTATAAAAAAAAACACCAAATTTTCTCAGATTATATAACAATAAATATTTGTGCCTATTTTTTCTACAGAATTTTAATGAAATAAATTCAAATTTTTAACGATGATATTTAAAGATTAATCTAAAATTAAATACTATATATTTTGCTTAAATTAATCTAGTTGTACCATATTTTGATGCACTTTAAGCTCTTTAAAATTACCATAGAGTGTTAAATACAGTGTACAAATATGGTGTACAT